CAGAGTGATGAAGTCAGTTCTTAGAGGGGGATTATTAGGAGGCCATGATTGATAAAGGCCAATGGGAAATTTGTCCAGGATGCCTGGTTAACACCTCTACTCTTTTCGAGAATCGCCCTTGTGTTCTTAATGACCACAGAGAGTCAGGACCTCGTTTTTACATCTCATCCGAAGGATGGTGCTGATATGGTGGCTGGCCTAGAACTAGAACAACTTAATTCTAACTGCATCTAGAAAACACATGTATTTAAAACCATTTTTTGACTGCATACACTATGTCATAATAGTTAGCTAAGCTGATTGGTTATGCTTGAAAAGTCATGCAGTTGAAAGGATAGATTAAGTTGGATACAATGGGGCACTTCCTTTGCCTCCCAGCAGATTTCATTATTAGTGGGGCTCCATGCACTAGCTCTTGATAGGCAGATGATGTGCTGTTGGCAGTGTTTAATGTTAATTTCCAGGTACCTCAGACTCTTTTATCTGCCATTTAATCACTGTTGTTCTTGTTTTCCTTACATCTTCCTTGGTTATCCATTGGTTTCCTTTTACATGCCACTGAGTCGATATCAGCTCGGTGATTAAACTAACTGAGAACATAAAGAAAAACAAATAGGATTCCTACTGAGCTCAGATACTGTTAATGAAAGCAGTGTCCACTATATTCTCCTTGTCAGCTAAATCTTCTGTTAAGATTTAATGTGGTATAATTAAATAGCTGATAAGCACATACATGGTCTGAAATTGAAAACTCATTTGGGATTAATGTGCATTAAAGTACCCTGTTAAGTTTAAACTGAACAGGAATTATGGAAAAACTAAACAAAGTTAAGATGTTTAGTGCAAACCAAATTTCAAGTCACACCAAAGGTACAGTATTTTTTACATTCGGTTTAAATATATTGTTTGAAAAGATACCAGTTAATATTCCAAGCAGATCCTGCATAATGTTTATATTTTATTTTGATATCATTTGCACTTAGATTAGCATCAATAGTTATGTACTGTACCTTTCAATTTTTAAAATATCCAGAAAAAATAGCACAAGAGAATTCTGTCAGTGTAGCCTCTAGAAAATTCACAATGCCCCAGTATAGTGACGGGGACACTGTACTGTAAACAGGCGCCGTCCTTCGGATGAGACGGAAAACCGAGGTCCTGACTCTGTGGTCATTAAAATTCCCAGGGCGTTTCTCGTAAACAGTAAGGGGTGTAATCCCAGCGTCCTGGCCAAATTTCCCATTGGCCCTTACTAATCATGGCCTCCTAATAATCCCCATCTATGAATTAGCTTCATCACTCTGCTCTCCTCCCCATTGATAGCTTGTGTGTGGGGAGCGTTCTGGCGCACTATGACTGCCGTCGCATCATCCAGGTGGATGCTGCACATTGGTGGTGGTGGAGGGGAGTTCCCATTACCCGTAAAGCGCTTTGAGTGGAGTGTCCAGAAAAGCACTATTTAAGTGTTAGCAATTATTAATTATTATTATTATTATTGTATGCACTCTTACTTTTCATAAGAATATTTGTGGTTTAGAGCTTTATCATGGACCCTAAAGGTGTTAAGAAAACAAAAATTGTGAGTGTGTATAATTTCACAAAAAGCAAATTAACTGGTTACTGTACAGTACTGTATTTAAGTAAGATTAATTATGTCTAATTAAGTAAGGATTGTTTTTATTACTAACAATACAAACCACAGCATGAATGTTAGTTATTGTTTCTTTTTTGGTGAAAAAAATAGGGATGAAATTTTGGATGTTTGGAATGGTTTGTAATGTTTCTTCATAAGAAAAATAATGGAGTAGGTTTTTCTTTCTATGAATTGTCACTATATGAAAGGGTTTTTGGGAATGAATCACGTTCATAAAAAGAGGCGCCTTTGTACTGTGTGCTGAATCTTTATCTAATGAGGATTTTGTCTAGTAACGTTTGTTTCGCACTGTAAATTCTGGGTTGGCAAGAACTTCCTTCATGGTAAGGTAAAACACTAATTGCCATATGAGAAAGTTTTTTCTAGTGCTGTTTGCATGCAAATTAAGGTGCACCTTATGGTTAAAGATTTTGTGAATACTGGTGCATATCATTACTCTTATTAGAGCTATTGTTCCACATCATTTGAATGTATTAACATGCCTCTGGCATATTCAGTACATATTAATGGACTGGCTTATTTTTAAGTTGTTTTTAATGTCTTTATTTTTAAGATCAACTCACATCTTATGCTTTGATTTGTGATTTGTAAATGAGCCCCTTAAAAGTTATGAGACATATATTGTAATTATTGTTTTGACATGTTTTTGCTTTTTATATTAATTACAAATCACCTCAATCAATATGTTCAAATCAGCTATTGCTCTTTGATGACAAAGTTCCTTCTGCTGTTTACTGCATCTCCTTCAGTTAACTATGAAAATACGAAATGTATAATTTTCAGTCCAAGAATATTTTCATTGTTTTGTTCAGCTCATAATTACTTTTCTACATATAGTGTAACAAGGATGGCTTATACCTCATTTAAGATAATAGACGTTTGCAGGAAATTGTTCATTAAAGTAAAAAAAAAGCTTTTGACATTCCAGATATTGAAAAAATATTGTTTTTTGGTTTCTGTACCCTTATTACTGCATATTGAGAGTACAGAATCATAATAATAGCAGCCGGTTGTACTGTTGGCACAAGTGATTCTGTTTCAGAATAGTAGTAATGTTTAGATATTTACTGAGGAAGTGGGAGGGTGGGAGTTGGGTGAAATGTGCAAATGACAAATAATAGAGAATATATAAAATGTGAAATGGACACGTCTTAATCATCATAAATATTCCCCCGCCTGGGCTTGCTCACTACGTAGTGCATTCTGAAGCAATTGTTTCATCTATCAGACCCAAAAGGTGGTCTGTATTATACAGTACATATATGACAGATGCTCATTTTATTCCACCAGGGCTCTGACTATATACGTAAGGTTACAAGCAAGAGCAAACCAGTCAGCCCATCTACAGTAACTTGTTTGGTTTATAGAAGCTACAGTACTTGATCCAAGCCATTTCATAAAACAAGGGTATTACAGGGTCTGTGTCATCATTATAAAGTCACTGTTTAAAAAAAACTTTGGCTGTGTCAGAGATTCAAATATCGGCTTTTGAAAATGAAATCCTTTGTCACTGTCACTGTCACTCTCTGCAGCTCTAATCATTAGTGTGATGCCAAAATGCATTTAGCACTATTCATTTAATATTCTACTTATCTGGTCTTATGGTATTTTCTTTTTAACACAGTGTACTTTTCTGCCCCCCAAAAATCACAGAAATTTAATTATGCAACTTTTCCATGACAGAATTAGCTATTTTCACAGTCTTTTGATGTTTTGTCATGTCTTCACATAGCTGACTCATTTTTGTCCCTAATTTAAAAGTACTCTTATTAAACCTTTAGGGCTTTAGCAAGAAAAAGAAGAAACACAGATTTATTTTTCTACTATATTTTTGTGCTTTGGTTTACCCACCCAATTTCTACTCTATGTTACTCATAAAGCTACAAATGTTTTAATTTATTATTTAAGTTAATTTGCTTCAAATTAGTAAATACGGTTTAATTTTAATTTTCACAGCATACCTTTAAAAGTCTGAAATGTATGTTTGAAGTCTTTGTAGCTGAGTCTTATTGTGTTACTATGTTACTAATCCTATTCAATTTGTTTAAGCACTTTCCTTTGCAATAACACCAGCTAGCATTAGCTACATGTTCGTTGTGCTGTGTGTTTTTTATGTGGTAGATTAATGGTATTTTCTCCTTACCTTTTTTCTGTCATTTTCTGTCCCATATCCTTTTTATTACCCTTGACTGCCCACTCACATTACTGTGGTGCATTACTGCTTTGATTTTTGCATGACCCTCCGCTGTTTTGTAAATGTGGTTGTGTGTGTGTGTGTGACCCAGACCCCTCAGATCCATTGGACGATGATTTGTTCCATTTGTTTGATAAATTCCCTACTCCCATCCCAGATACTTCCACCCCCATGATCCCCCCAGTAGGTGTGCAGGCTGTGGCTCTGACCCCTGACTCAGTGAGGGTCAGTTGGGCAGACAACTCTGTCTCCAAGAATCAGAAAACTACCGAGGTGCGCTACTACACTGTCAAATGGCGAACCAGCTATTCCACTGCTGGAAAGTTCAAGGTGAGAATGTTTGTGTTCAAGATATGTTTTGATGGCTCTCCTCTTTTGAAACAGTGTCACCATTTTAAATGCGAAAAAAAAGTAATTTCCTTAGGCTATTTTGTCTGCCTTTATAGAACAATTATTCATGTTTGTAAGTTTAAATATAGATTCCATGTAATTAAATGTTGCACCTCAACACTTACAACTACAGTTTGGTTTTGTATTTTAATACACACAATTAACAATTTTATAGGAATCTAGCTGTCAACAAATCAAAGGGGCTTAAAAAGTAAATGGCAAAGGGACTAATCGAGAAAAAGTTTTACAACATGGACAATTTGAAATGTACTGCTAAGCAATTTCAGGTCCCGTAACCCTGCCGTAACATTATGTCTGGTAGTGGATGGTATGGAATATGTTGGGAGGTTAATGTTGCAGCCTGAGTCAGGCCTGTGTAACAAAGTAGCAACAGCTCCTCTGTGTTTCTGAATTGCATTTAAATTGAAAGAAAACAAATATTGCAAAATCTGTTTCTCCATTCCTTTAATACTTAAATGCAGTGTTAAATCCAATGGAAGAAGAACTGGTGTTTCTTGATTGGGCAGCAAAAATAGAAAATAATTAAAAATTTTCATGGATATTATCCTGGGAAGATTACTGTGTGTTTTGCACAATTCTAATTAGTGGCATTTTACTCTGGCATACAGTATAAAAAATAGGTTTTTATGTTCATTGTTTATGTGCAGAATCTCATTTAGAAGAAATCTGCACAAATCATGAACAGTATTTGTTGAAGCAATACTTTCTGCCAAGAATTTGTCAGCTGTGATTCACAGCCTCCTACTACTGCTTCCGATGTGCCTCTCACTTTGCCTGTTTGTCCAGACCGCAGACACCACAGCCCTCAGCCACACCGTCACAGGACTGAAGCCCAACACCATGTATGAGTTTGCTGTCATGGTCACCAAAGGAAGAAAATCCAGCACCTGGAGTATGACAGCACATGCCACAACCTATGAAGCAGGTGTGTCTTTTCAAGTCCTTTAAAGCTGTAAAGTTTTGCTCGGTTGTCAGCTTAAGTACTTACTGCCTACCTGTGAATTTCATCATTGCACTTTTGAATGCATTTCTCTTTTCTCCTGTGGTCTTTGTATTTTATCATGTGAATTTGCATTCATCAGACATCTACAAAGGAAAATTTTAAAACACAGATGATAATTTTCCTTGTTCTTCGTATTCTCTCACAAAAGTGAGAAAATAATCCATATTGCTCTGGCATAAAAAATAAGTTTTCTTGTTGCTATAACTATAACAATAATAGCAATATGCTCGACGCTTCATCCAAAGCGACTTACATTGGTACCCATTTATATAGCTGGCCATTTTACTGGAGCAGTCTTAATGAAGTAACTTGCTCAAGGGCAAAACAGTAGTGTTATGTTCTTCAATGATTATATGCCTCATTTTTTAATCCGTATCTTAGTGGTGTTCCAGTGCTAATTGGTTAAGATAATTTTTGTTATTTTTGGTTTTATGACTTATTTACCAAATGTTATGGTCCCCAGTATTATCAGAACAATCTAGTCTTATAGAGGACACAATCACCTGTGTGTTTATTTCTGTGTAAAACTCTTTTTGCTTCTATAGCAAAAGAAGATCTGCTAATGATGAAAAAAACAATGCGCTTCATTCTTCCAGTGCTATTGTAGATATAATAAAAATGAAATCCCAGGAAGACATTTTTTTGTTGTAGAATAAAAAAAAAATGTTTTTTGATTTTGTTTATCTTTCATCAAATAGTCTTAAAAAGAAAGGCACAAAGGAAATGTAATTTCCCATCATTGAATGTTTGCACAAAACCAAAGATAAGAGAAAGAATTAAACTATTTAAGATGAAAATTGTTGTCATATTAATGGTTAGGAAACAGTACACTAGCATTTCTTATCTCTGCATTTTGCTTATTGTTATATCTGGTAGCTCCCAGCTCTGCCCCTAAAGACCTCACTGTCATCAGCCGAGAGGGAAAACCGCGTGCTGTCATTATCAGCTGGCAGCCACCAATGGAAGCCAATGGAAAAATCACTGGTGAGACAGCTTTTCCTTCATTTTTAAAGTTTCACATTCTAATCAAGTGCAAAGGTTGGGTTTGGGCACATACTGTACATGAATGCTTTCACCAGTCTTCACAACCTTGTCTGGAGACTGATGTTTTAGATCTCTGAAGAAACATCAGACACGATGAGGGGACATTTTGTGTTTCAGTATTGCATCCTTTTTTTGAAACATTTGCAAAAGACTTATTCAAGAGCGATGCATGCACAGTGAGTTGAAATACTTACGTAAGTGAGAACAACACTTGCAAACTGCCTGGAGGTCAGAGGTGAAGTCAATTCAGCCATCCATCTAGCAAGCCAAATTCATATTGTTTAAAGTATTTAAGAAATATTGATTAATTAAAAATACAATATAATAATAAGACACAAAAATCTCTTTCTTCATTGCCCATCATGCCTTTAGTCATTGTGATTTATGACCAACAAAGATAGCCAGACAGTATAATTATTTGGGCTGCTTATAACTGTACATTTAATAATACGCTTCCCAATGCTTATGATGATTCACTGCCAATAATGAGACTGAAAGAGAATGTGCCATCATGCAAATTAAGAACGTTCCTTTTTTTAATTTTCTTTGTTACTATTCAACTTGTTAATTATTGTTACCATATAAAAAGTTATTTAATGATAAGGCACCTATTGTAGCAGTATGTTACTTACCTACCAGTCTTTGTAGCTTTTGAAATGAAATGCCCATATAATAAGACAACCAACCAATATTAAGACATAAAAATATTTAAAAGATGGAGATATTAACCATCTCTTTTAAATTCTATTAAGTTTTATTAGTAGTAATTTTACCTGTAGATGACTTCTCTCACTTCAGTGCTTAACAGTTAAATAGAAAATCATGCAGTGCTTCTTTGAAGTTTGACCTTATTACCCAACTTATTCATTTGAACAAACTGCTTTTGCACTGCTAAGTAGCTAAATCTGTTAGGCTGTGAGGAACTTGTTTTACAATTTAACCTTTCTTACAGTATATTAAGAATCAAGGCATATAACTGCCTTGATTATATAACAGACTCTAAAGAGAAGCAAGTGAAAGCAATGAGACCAGAGCAAAAGGACAAGCAGATCTGAAGCAATCCCTGATTGGAATTACACTTTCCAAAGAGAAACAGATACGCCAAGATGACAGATAGTACCTATCAGTGGGCATTAATCTGGCCATCCAATTAAACTTAGTCTATTTGATCTTAGAACCTTCAGTCACTGATTCCAGTATATTTAGTCAGTTTGAGGACTGAAATTTGAGAGCACTCATCGCTTTGTTCTGCAGCGGAAAAGCGATGCAATAATGTGTCATTGCAGCTTGAAGGATGGAAATAATAAACCAGATATCCTTTATTTATGAACCAACAGTATTAAAAGTATGTACACAGAAGATAGAACTACTGTCCTGTGTTATCCCGATATGTTTGTTCGATAGTTGCCATACATATTCCCTTTGATTTTTGTTTTTTCCTCAGGGTACATTCTATTTTACACTCTGGACAAGAACATGCCCATAGATGACTGGGTGATGGAATCCATCAGTGGGGACCGCCTCACTCACCAGGTCATGGATCTGAATTTGGACACAGTCTACTATTTCCGCATCCAGGCCAAAAATGCAAAGGGAGTAGGCCCCCTCTCTGACCCCATTCTCTTCAGGACGCCTAAAGGTCAGAGACACGTACTTTCTTGTGGAAAATAATGCATTCATTTCCAGTTCATTATTCTGTTAGCACTGCAAATGCTTTGCAAATCCCAAAGACAGAATAAAAAGTCATATCAACCCACAGCAGAATGGATAATGCCTAGTATTGTTTATCAGGAAATGTTATTCAATATTCTTTTATAAATTGTGTGTCTTTAACCAGTTCAGTGTTGATTTTGATCACATGGGCAAAATGTGAGCCACCTGTAGTAGGCTTACTGTATGTATAGCATCTAGTGTATATGTTCTCATGGCCTTCATGATTGATTGCATAATTGACTATAAAGCAGATTAATCTCTCAGACCACAAGCAAGAGAATATGTTTTTCTAGTTTTACTAATGAGGTTAAGACATACTATGGAAGCTCATTTTTAATTGCAAGGTGAGTGTGTTGGATTAACTGATACTATATGACAAAGGCAGTGAAAGCTCATGTGAATGAGTCATTGTGTGCATTCAAGAAGAATGTTAATGGGTTTCCTAGAGTATTAAGCACCTACTGTATCAGCTGGATGAGCTAAATGAGCTGAATGACCTCTTTTCATCTGTAACCATTCTTATTTTCTTATCTTCTTACCATTCGCTTTTAACCTTTGTAAAGCCACTTTATGAATAACATCCATTAATAACAAAATATAACACCAGGTACTAAAGAAAAGTCTCTTTTTAAATAGATAATAACATTCGTGATTGAACAGCCATTAAAGTCAATTTACTGAACCATACTAGACCTCTGTAACATTGTAGTTTCAGGGGTCACATGTCAGGTAAACATGATGTGGTGAATCAAAAATACTGTAATGTCATATATTGCTGAGAAATGTTTTGAATAGCCAAATCTCAGAAGAAGCTGAATGATGCCCTTCCTACTGCTCTGTCTCTCTGAGCCGTGCAGGAAAGGGCAACGCATCATGTCCTCTCTCATCCTCATCACTCAATTTGAAGGGCAAGGAGATGAAAGGTTTTGGTTTGAGAAAACAGCTAACGAACACAATCGTTTGACATACCAGGCCCCCTCTGCTCTATCCTCCCCCAAGGGAGCTGTCACCATACTAATAATGTTGTCTGTTTCTTTCTCTCTGTTCTCTTGCAGTTGAGCACCCTGACAAAATGGCTAATGACCAAGGTATGCTGTGCCCAATCTGTCAAGCTCTCCTTAAAGAGTGGGACCTGATGGTTGCTGGTTGCTGTTGCATGCCCAACACTACCACTTGGCATTCCTGCCCTTACCTGTTCTCTCACCTGCTAGCAAGAAGCCCCCCCAGTAATTAATCTCCATAATTAAGTGACGCTCCACCGCAGTAGATCTTCAGAGGAAAGATGTGTCTCAAATGGAAATGTTTTATCTTCGAGCCAGACTCAGTCTGACAGGCAATAGAAAAATCTATTCCAAGAGAAAAGCTAAAGACCAATTCAAATGTATCATAAAGCTTAATCTTTAAAGAGAAAACAAAATCCTAGTCATAGCTGTAAAAGCACATTTAATTGTAATTACATTTAAAAATTCATTTGTGAGCTTTGAATTTCTTAGCTGGCTAAAAGTCAACATACTGTGCATATAGCAGATATATTGTATGCCCTGGTGATTGCAGGGTGCTTTCCACCTGCTGGATGCCTCTGTGCCTTACAGTTCATAGAAGTACGTATGTTGTTACTTTGTTCAGCAGTCTGGTACTTTTGGTGAGCATGTCTTCGGAACCAGCAATCAGGGTTTTGTTCCCCAGTTTAAACATATCATATGCATTCGGCATTACAATATGTATTTACTGTACAATACAAATGTTCCAAACTCTAAATGAAAAACAGACAGGCTCTTCTAATTATTGTTAACATAGTGTTAATCAATTTATAGAACAAGGTTCAAGGTTAATTATTTTTTTAAATAATCTTGCGTCTCCTCAAACTGTCTGTGCCACCAAACCAGATGTTCTCACACCGGCCCTCCAGCCTTGCTTGTTTACATGGCATCAATGCAGCTGAATCTTCAGATTAAAAAAATCACTAGAGACCAGATCAGGATTGTAGGGTGGGCAATTCAGCTGCAAAAAGACATTTATGAATAGTGGCTATAGCAACAGATAGCACAGATTCCTGATGGTGAAACTACAGAACACCTATGGCTTCTGTGTGATGTTTTGCATAATGTTGTTGCCATATAATGCATTTTCCTTCATTTCAGTTATGTGAGATTTCCAGTATAGTCTGTCATAAGGACTGTCTTTGAATCCCAGGGAATAGTTGTTATGCTCTTGTTTTCAAAGTGTTGAATGAGATTATTGATCTCCTTGGGTAGTGGAAATCCACTGGTTCCTTCATTACATGGACATTTATTTTTGAGGAACCTATATCTTAATTACTGTATCTGTAATCAGATAGACATGAAATGTTCTTAATGCAATTTTTAGGAACTGATTGATTAAAATTCTGAGCACTGAGAACTTAGGGTGATTGACTTACTGATCATCTTGTTAAAGTCATGTGTTTGGAGCACTGATCTTTGATTCATTGATCATTTTCAGTAAATTGTCCAACTTTTTTTGATTGCGAACATGACAAAGTTTTATTGAGTGTTTTGTGAAGGGCAGACTTACTCTGACTGGTGATCCTGGAAAAGAGAAGAGAAACTGTAAATTACTTAAATTACTCAGTACAAAGTTCTGAACAAGTTTATAAATCAGCCATGAACCAAATTGCTGAAGCATGTGAACACCTTGTTCTATGAATGTATTGACCCCACCTTGTTCATACTGTACAGTATATTCCTTATTTTCGCATCTTATTGATAAACATCTTGCAATTAATTTTCTCTGGCATCTAATTGTGTGGTAGCCCTGAGCTGAAGGTGTCTAAATGTGCCTTTTTGATATTAATATTATAAATCGTAATCTTTTAAAAACATCTTTTAAATAATGGAATATTGAATTTCTCTTCTGTTTCCACATATCTTTGTCTGTGCACGGTCTTGTCATTATTAGACAAATGTGAATTCTCTGGAGCTTTTGTTTTAATTAAGACCTTTGTTAAAGGAGAAAAAAGCCCTCATGTGGTTTTTAATTGGTGTCTCTGGCAAACAACTTTGTAAAAATGCCTTTCCCTGACTTTTGTTGAGTGGAAGACCCGGTGAAAGGCAGAGTAGAGTCAGAACAGCCTAATTGTTAAACTTTGACAAATATTTAATACTTTTAAAACTGTAGGTATGTATTTTCTATTTTAAGTAACAGCAACTTTTTACCACTCCGCAATAAAAAAGAGCACAATAAATATCTACATAGTACTGTAGATGCAAGTTTGTTGTTTCTTTTCAAATGCCTTTTAGTTCCCTTTAAAAAAAAAAAAACTTTCTTATTCATGGCCAGCAAGCATCACATCATTGGCACCACAAGATTTAGTGTTTTTAAAGAGGATTGCAACCAAGTAAGGGACAATAAAAATGAAAAAAAGCATTAGCATTAAGCATTAAGAAACTGGGATTGCAAATACCTGCAGGTGGCAAAATGTAAAATGACCAAAATCTGAAATAAAGCGTAAAAATAACATATAAAGAATGGAGATACTATTGAAGTAAGATTATTTAGATTTATGCGGAAAACAGAAAAAAAAACACCACAGCATTCAAAGTATTATTTGTGCGCATATTTTCATTTAGATATTGGATGGACCTCTACTGTAGGTAAAAGACAATACAACTTGCAGTGGCAGCTAATGGACTTTTGAGTATTTCATAATTAAAGTTAAGCTTGATAAACTCTGTCTTTAGTTGAAAATTTAGTTCACATCAAATAGATAATACTGTTCATAAATCAGCTCAAGATGATTCTGGAGGCAGTTCTGAGAAATGAGACTAAAAATTGATGGCCTTGGAGCTTTCGCTCCCATTTAAACTTTTTAGTGGGTTGTGCCTTCAAGACAGGAGTCACATTTGAAAGAAGTGGAAACATCAAACTGTCCTGCCTGTGCTGCACCTCATTTTTGCATAATCCGGGGGCTTGCATTTTTAACATAATTTTAACACTTCCTGTCAAGTGCATTTTAAAGCATAAAAGCACAACAAGAGACATGAATCCACAGCCATGAAAAGAGACTCTAGCTAGGGGAATGGTCTTGTTTAGTCTGGTCCTGTGGTGATTGATAGGCTTCCTGGACACAGTCTATTCTACTTTGGGCGAAACAAAATGTATTCTCCTTTACTTCAGGCTCCCTAATGTTGCCTGTTTGTCATTTTTCTGACACCTATGTTAGCAGTGTAACTGAGACGGATTTCCTTCAGTCTCGACCCCAAGCGCCATACATAGAGTTCAAGCCTCCATCAGGAGATAGCTTGCTCCAAATCTGAAAATAATTCTAAAATAAATAAATGGACAAATCACTAAAAAAATGATTGTGTTAAGAGCAAAGTTTATCCTAAAAATGGCCTGTGTCAAAACTTAGAAAAGACATGAAAATGTACTGACATTGAAGAGCTGTTCTGAAAATAGGTCTGACAGACGAATGCACACAGTCAGAACCTGAAGCCCCTGGTAACTGAAGCGACTACCCTGCTCACATATCTCAGCTAACTGGGCCAATCTTTAATACTATAGGTGATCTGTGGCTTCACTCAGCCTTATACAATGTGGAATGTAAATAACCCACAAC